TGTAAACGAATATGATGCCCAATATTTTTGTGTAAAAGAGAGGCTTCATCTCTGTGTAAACGAATATGATGCCCAATATTTTTGTGTAAAAGAGAGGCTTCATCTCTGTGTAAACGACCATGATGTCTTATATTTTTGTGTAAAAGAAAGACTTCATCTCTGTGTAAACAATTATGAAGTCCTATATTTTTGTGTAAAAGAGAGGCTTCATCTCTGTGTAAACGACTATGATGCCCAATATTTTTGTGTAAAAGAAAGACTTCATCTCCGTGTAAACGCCTATGATGTCCTATATTTTTGTGTAAAAGAAAGGCTTCATCTCTGTGTAAACAACTATGAAGTCCTATATTTTTGCGTAAAAGAGAGGCTTCATCTCTGTGTAAACGACTATGATGTCCTATATTTTTGTGTAAAAGAAATGCTTCATCTTTGTGTATACGCCTATGATGTCCTATATTTTTGTGTAAAAGAAAGGCTTCATCTCTGTGTAAACAACTATGAAGTCCTATATTTTTGTGTAAAAGAGATGCTTCATCTCTGTGTAAACGACTATGATGCCCAATATTTTTATGTAAAAATGAGGCTTCATCTATGTGTAAACAACTATGAAGTCCTATATTTTTTTGTAAAAGAGAGGCTTCATATCTGTGTAAACGACTATGAAGTCCTATATTTTTGTGTGAAAGAGAGGCTTCATCTCTGTGTAAACAACTATGAAGTCCTATATTTTTGTATAAAAGAAAGGCTTCATCTCTGTGTAAACGACTATGAAGTCCTATATTTTTGTGTAAAAGAAATACTTCATCTCTGTGTTAACAACTATAAAGGCCTATATTTTTATGTAAAAGAAATACTTCATCTATGTGTAAACGACTATGAAGTCCTATATTTTTGTGTAAAAGAAAGGCTTCATTTCTGTGTAATCAACTATGAAGTCCTATATTTTTGTGTAAAAGGGAGGCTTCATCTCTGTGCAAACAACTATGATGTCCTGTATTTTTATGTAAAAATGAGGCTTCATCTCTGTGTAAACAACTATAAAGTCCTATATTTTTATGTAAAAGAAAGGCTTCATTTCTGTGTAAACTTCTTTCACAACGTACACAAAGAGGTAAAAGTATTGTCAAAGATACTAGTCACTGTGGAGATATGAATCTGATTTTTGTTAAGCGAACAAACAGCTGAACTCAGCCAACAATAATCTTAAGGACAAAAACAATGAAATCTTCATTGAAAACAACAACTTTATTATCATAGTAGTGACTTTGATGCAAAAACGTCATTTCCCCACCCCCAGATATAATGGGGTAATTCAGATGCACGTGAAACAAGGTAGAGTTAAATAAATTAATGGTTTTCAAGCTTGTAGTTGTTGTAGTGCGAATAGAAGCATTTTTGACACGCTTCAGTAATTGGATTATCTTTTACTTCAGCTAAAATTAGCCTTTATTTCCTGACGTTTCGGTTGTATCCCTTTATCAAAGAGCTGCATGTAGTTCAGGAACATATACAGATATGTTTATACTTGTAACTAACGTAATTATATTTTATTCAAGTGTTTAGTGATTAGAAAAAAAAAACTTCGTTGTATCTTTCTTTAATTTCAACAGTTCTTAGCTTTCTGAAAGCAAAGCTCCTGACAGTAATATTCTAACAGACATTCTATGTGAACCTGGTGTACAGAATTAACCATAACATTTGTAAACTGTTTGAGAAAATCGCTTTTGATAAGCATCTCGTGTAAACAAGGTCACGACCTTATGGCTTTTAAATGAATGTTTCGACGCAAAACGTTAAAAGTTGCCAACAAACCAAGGACACTTCGTCATACGTGTTCTGTACAAACAAAATATCGTAAGTTACATGGTAATTTGTGTATTATCTTCCTAACGTGTTCATAGCTGTTTTCCTTACATCACACAAACGTCAGAGACACGAAGAAACCTTAGAGTCCTTATTCTCGGTGGGCGGGACTCGCCAACACTTCTTCGGGGGTCGTCCTGCCCCTTGCTTTATTCCAGAAGAACTGGCATGGCTGAAGGACAGATAGGCAGGTAATAGTTAAGGGGTAATAATGTCTTATACACACATACATATAATTATATGTACAGAGATAAAGGACTTAAAAAGATCAATTCAATAAAGTCGGTTTTTACAGCTATTTTAAAATGTGGAATTCAAGACTAGTTCATTTGATATTAATGGTTCCAATTCAGAATATCACTTACCAACTTAATGATAAAGAAAAATACGAACTTAATAATAGAAAGCATTGAGTAAACGTCTCGGAATCTTCAAAATTCCATTATCAGTAAGCTGAAGGTACGAAACAAACAAATAGTTCGTGTTTTGCTTTATCATTAAGTTGCGTTTTCCGAGTCGATCACTTACCAACTATGTAACCATGTATAACGCGGACAGAAGAATGAAATGTAGAATATGTGGACAAAGTTCTTTTAAGTAGTTGATAGTGCAATAATCGTACAGGTGGTTATAAAAAGAAAAAATGTTTCAATTGATTATATCCTAAAAATTAGTTGTCTTGGACGAACAAACTTTCATCAAAAGGCACATGGAGAATTATAACTTTTATTAAAGAAAGACTGGACATAGTAGAAAGTGTTTCAAAACTATGCAATATTGTATACCTAAATCGCTTTTCTGGCAAATAACATTTGTTCTAATTTCTCTCGTTTGATACTTGTGATATAAATAAAATGCTGGATAGTGTTAGGATCAATTAGCACTACATGATCTAGCACTACTAGATCATGCTAGCAGTAGCTTCACTTAAGGATGTCCCCCAGTGGCACAGCGGTATGTCTGCGGACTTACAACGCTAGAAACCGGGTGTCGATACCCGTGGTAGGCAGGGTACAGATAGCCCATTGTGTAGCTTTGTGCTTAACTACAAACAAACAAACACTTAAGGATAAACTTGATATACTGATTGAGAACGACGGAAAGTGTAATGAATACCTTTTTTGTCAGCTTTCAAGCACTTCGTACCATATCCACACTTTTCTGAATTAAATTTGTTATTTTCAATGCTCCTTTGATGAAGTTTCGCTTCCCTAGAACAAGCAAGTTTTCAATATAAGGTTTTCTTTATAACCAGTTCCTAGGAGGGTTAGGACTTGATAAGTTGTCTCACCTACATATGTCTAATACTTGAGGAAACTTTCAGAAACAATAATACATGTTAACTTTAATACATGTTAACCTATAGAATTATCCTGGATGCTTTAATAGCGCGTGACACATTACATAAATTCTCAGCTTTACACACTTGATTTATATGCCAGAAAATTTTTGGTCATATTCATTAAAAAGAAATTCTAATGTTCCGCACCCATTGTTAAAAACGGCATCAAACTTGAATAATTGTAGTTAATACAGCAGCGAAAAATGATCATTAGTCAAAAACGGGGTGAAGAGCTATAAGGGCTTATATCTTTCAAATTATGTTCGTCTATCTGACATGAACACATACAGCTTGAAGTAAAGTTAATGGTGGACTATAAAAGATGCCCAGCGCCTGTTTCCAGAAGGTAAGCCATTCTTCAAGTGAATGGAACTTCTTACATTTGTTAATCGATTTATGCACCAACGTTTTAAATCACTTGATGTGCTCAGTGCATATTGTATAGAAGTTATGCCTCTTTCCGTGTTACCCCATGTACACAAACATATATATTTATATACATGCACACAGATAATCATACCGCAGATCCTTTGTAAAGAGCTGGTAACAATAGTGTTTAGCTGTCTATAGCCTTTTAGCTTTGATGGCCTGTTTCAAAGAGCGCGTGAAATATTTGAAGGTTTACATTTACACATGCAATCATGGTCTAAAGATTTACATAGACGTTCATGTGATTATTTCTCTTTTTTTCCAATCAGTGTAACAGCTTCATAAAAGTGGGCAGGAAAAATTCAAAAGCCTCAATATATACAATGTTTGTTATACATTCTCTATTCGTATGTAAGTCCATTATTTTATTCTTTCTAGAAAGCGTATCAATGATTTATTACTGTAAAATCAGCAGGTATATAATACCTTCTCCCAGAAAGTACACAATAAGATGTAAATGTTGACAGATTCTCACTTTTTTTTTACTTGTTTGTTTCACAAACTCTCAGTGTTGTAATATATATATTACAGTGTAATAAATGTTCTTCAAAGTTAAAATCAATACTTTTAATATCATTAGAAAATGAGTTTTTTTTTTAGTTTCACGGAGTTGTCTTGAAAAGCGCAAAGTCACATTTCGTGAGAGCAAATTTCAATATACAATACATAATAAAGGACATGATAAATTATAATGTAGATCATCTACAAGTTCATATTTCAGAAGTGTTTTGAAATATACATTTTGTGTGAAACACGTGCTTAGCGTGATATTTGAGATTTCGTTCTGAAAAGTGACGTATACGGAGTGATGTAAAAAACAAATGTGTATAGTCTGGCGATTCAGACACTGAGTTGAAGCATGTATATAGTATTGTATTTTGTAGATAATTACTAAACACCGCCATGTTTCAGAGTTCTGTGGTTACATAAGCACATTATTGTAGCATGAAAGTGGTGCTGTTTTTTGTTGTTGTTTTTTTTTTTAGATGGAATTCAGATATTATGTTTTTTGGGAAGAAATATTTAGTAAAGTATCTTAGAATTTGCTGTGAATCTCTTATATATACTGAGCAGTTTTAAATATGAGAATCTTAATATATGTTTTCTCTTTTAGATTTTGGCTCACTGGAATTCCAAATTCTCCATGCCTTTTTTCGCACTCTTATTAGGCCTACAACGTCCAAACTGTGAATAAATTCAAATAACAATAGGTCTGGTGTTTCAGGCCCAATCTGGATCTTCTTCCTGGCGATTTATTACAGTTTAATTGGTATTTCAAGAGACTTATGAGTTCGTCACATCTTCCGGTTTTGCAAGACATAAAACGAATCTTGCTTTGTATTCAAAATAACGTAACAAATATTCTCTCTTCTTTTTATTTTATTAAAAAACAGTGCTTTACTTATACAACTCTCTGTAAAACACAGTGCTTTACTTATACAGCTCTCTGATGATCATTCAAAATATAGACATGGAAATTATAGTTTTTTAAGGCTTACAATTTGGAATAAGTAATGATGTCGAGACTGCATACTAAAATTTCTTAGTGATGATAAGCTGTGCAGGTTTTCATGATATTCTTAGAGTTACACCTAATGTATTATTAATATTTCAATATCCCAATAAAATGAACGAACTTAATTAAAGCTACTGATTTAAAGTTGTTGTTTTTTTTTCTCTCATGGAATAATGTTAGACATCTGTTTTCTACGGAAATACTGGTGTTCAAGTTTGAAATCCTTTCACGAACGGCTATGAATTTTGGGTCAGCAACACCGCCTATTGATTAATAAGTGAAACAACCAAGAGTTCATATCACATCTGAAACATAGAAAACATTTTGTTTAAGAATTACGGAACAGTTAAGATATCGTGTAAATCATAAAAACTTTCAAACTGAAACGTGTAGTTGAATTTGATCCATGAACAATAAAGGCTAAAAAAAAAAGGATACTTACCCTCCGACTGTTACTTGATGTATAAAACTCTGCACGTTTCAAATACAAGAGAAATCTATATCATAACAAACATTTGTATCCCTACATTTCATTATTTTCTTTTTCAAATTGTCTCTGTACGATAAATTGCCTTAATTTTTCTTTAAACAATAGATAGGCCTATAGCGAAGAAATATTAACATAAAAAAAACACATGAATATTTAAATGCACAAGAAGGACTTTTACATTTATTTTACTGCTTTGTCTCACCTATTTATTTCTTTTTCAAAACTTCCAAACTGATTTATTATCAAAGTAATGAGGTCATTGTTCACTGTAACATAATGTATTATATTGTTGTAACATATCTATTCTGCATAAAACTTTCTGTGTCCCTGATTATTAATCTTCTGTAATATACAACTATATATATATATATAGCACATCTTGATAACCCATACAGTCAAAGTGATACATCAGTGTCTTCCCTTACAGATAATAAGTAACCATTTAAGTTCTTTATTCACGAATGTCTATGATACAAGTTAGCCGTGGAAATGGGATTAAGTCTATTATGTCAGTGCACCAATTTTTATTAAAATGAGTACATTTAGTAAAGAATGTTGATTACTTCACGTATTATTTAAACCAGAACATTTGCTAATAATGCTTTTAAAGGAAAACAACAATTCAACCAGCACGATAGTCTTTTACTCATAGTAAAAGTTTCAAGTGCTATTACAACTCTCTTTTAAACGAGATTCAACAATTAAACCAGAATATTATACCTTTTACTCAGATGAATAGACGTTTGAAATGTTAAAATAACTCTTTGTAATTTCTATCAGAATCCAACAATTAAAGAAAAAAAATCTCTGGTCATAGACTTTTACTCGAACAACTAATAGTTACAATTACTATCGTAAAACTGTATATTCTTTAATGAATAAAAATAAATCTGGGTACGACAACCAGATGACCAAACACATACACAATTCCTTATATTAATGATTTTAAAATGTGAATAATACAGTAATAACTTGTACAGTTACTGTACCAAGAATGTTTTTATTGTTGTTTTTCGCAGGAAAATCAATCTTCAGACAGATCAGTAAGCCTCATATAAATAATCAAATCATTTAAAACAGATAAGACCGTACAACAGGCGTTTACTTAAATGTCCAAAATCATATAATACAACAATTAATATTGTAGCTTTTTATTCACGTGTTGAAATCTGACTCATTCTCTTCAACCGTAAAATTATTTTTTTCCACTTCTCCAGATTCTCCAATCAGAACGCTTTCTCTTTATTCAGGTGATTTAATTTTTCTGCCTTTAACATATTTTCGGCATTAAATAATAAAAAAAAAGACGCTTTAATTATAAACAAAAGAAATTGTAAAATAATTTATATTTGCAATTTACGACACTTCTTAACTTCAACGACTTTTAATATGTTTGAAAGTATTAAATTCATGAATGACCCCTCGTTTTCTTTTCTTTTACTGAGAAAATTCAATAAATGGAGAACTTTTTGTTTTTTCTTGTTTACTCATAACCTGACGAAGCTACCAGGAAAAATACAGGATTGGTAAAAAAAAATGTCTCTCAAAAAAGCTGTTGGATGTTTTTTAGCATAAAGTGTGGGGTTAATGCTTCAGTTAGCGCCAAAACATGTTTTTCTCATTAACCAAGTTGAAATGTTTTAGGGTCAAATATTGAAAACTTACCACTATTAGACTAGAGGGCCTTCATAATTTTGTGAGTCTGTGATATACTCCGCTGAGTTTTGTGCTCATTATTATAAATCAAAAAGAGACTTTCTGTTTGTGTCTACGATTTGAGTTGAGAACCCAAAAGCTGCTAGTTATGCAAGACTATAAATAATCAGCTTCTGTACGTTCACCACAAAGCAGAACACGTAGTTATAGTTAATATTTTAAACTTCTCATTCTTCGATATGTTCTTGTTGTTGTTTTCTAGTCATGATTTTCAAACTTCTTCTTCTTGGGATTACCAGCCACAAAAAAATGTTTTGTAATTCTACAACATGAGGACATTTGAAAAATTGGGACATCTTAAACGTTTTGTATTTATAATATGGAAATTTATTAACAGCTCAGCGGTAAGTCTACAGACTAACAACGTTAGAAATCGGGTTTCGATACCTGTGGTGAGCAGAGCACAGAAAGCCCATTGTATAGTTATTTGCTTGACAACGACCAAACAAAACTGACATGATAAATAGCAATTCTTTTGAAACATTTTCTTTTCATCACAAAACCTTAATTTTATTTACAAATTAGTTCACGTAATGTTTATATTATATGTGTAAAAAATATGAATAATATAAGTTTATGGCAAATAAGAGTGATTAATGATAAATAAAGGTAGAAGAAGCTAATACAGTTGTGCAAGTCTTCCTCTACATAGTTTCACAAAGAACAGTGTTGCGTGGTTCTATAAACTACAATATCCTGGTAATTAAATAATTTTCATTTTGATTCTACATCTATAGTTTATTATTACTCCACGAAACTTTTCAAGCTTTATCTCTACAGTTCAAAAAGTCCACAAACCCTTCAATCTTTATCCCTCTGCGCAGTTTATATAGAAAGTCCAAAAACCAATCTATCTTTATCTCTCTCTCTCTCTACAGTTCATAGAGAAAGTTCACAAACCCTTCAATCTTTATCTCTCTATATAGCTTACAGGCCATTAAAACTCTTCAATTTTTATCCCTCTCCGCAGTTTATATAGAAAGTCTACAAACCCTTCAATCCTTATCTCTCTATATAGCTTACAGACCATTTAAACTCTTCAATCTTTATCCCTCTCCGCAGTTTATATAGAAAGTCACAAACCCTTCAACCTTTATCTCTCTCTCTACAGTTTATAGAGAAAGTCCATAAACCCTTCAATCTTTATCCCTCTCCGCAGTTTATATAGAAAGTCCACAAACCCTTCAACCTTTATCTCTCTCTCTACAGTTTATAGAGAAAGTCCATAAACCCTTCAATCTTTATCCCTCTATATAGTTTACAGACCATTAAAACTCTTCAATCTTTATCCCTCTCCACAGTTTATATAGAAAGTCCACAAACCCTTCAATCTTTACCTCTCTATATAGCTTACAGACCATTAAAACTCTCCAATATTTATCGCTACAAATTATAAAGTCCGTCAAAACTCTTCAATATCTAACTCTACACTTTAGAGAAAATAATAGCGAATTATCATGAACGAATTATCAGAAAGCCAGTGGCCACCCGCTTTTTATCGTTATAAGCCTTTCGGCTTACCAATGAGCCACTGGAAGGCGGAGCGACAAAACAGATCTTTAAGACAAACGAAGAGACCCAGAGCAGATAGACAGAAAGCCTGTGGTTTGGAATCTTCCAATCATTAATAAGGAATAGGCGTTGATATACATGCTCTATTTACACACTTCGGACAGTCTATATACACAAGTCCTTGGAAACCTGAAGTGATAACGCACGAACATAACTTACAAACTAATATATAGTTAATTAAATTTATCTTTAATAAATTTTAGACAAACTCAAGGTATAATTTGTATTAATGCGTTAGAAAGTATTGGTATTTTACAACTCTGTATAACTGAACTGCCTTTAATGGATTTTTCAAGCTGAAAATTCATAATGAGCCGCTTAAAAACTAAGCGTTGGAAATCGGTAGTTTTATTATGTTGTTTCATCACACGTTTAATTTAAATTTTTTACATAATTTGTTTTCTCCTTGAAAACAAGCACGCGAGTTCACACTGACTAAAACAACATTATTTTCAAGTAAATTAAGGTTATACACCTAAAACTTACATGGTTACATTATCATCCTATACACCTTCAAATCATAAACTAATTCAGCTATAATTACGTTCAATAACTGTTGTGGGCCTATAGTAATTTTTTCAAAACGTGCTTCGAGTTTGAACAACTTTTTTTTTTGCCAAGAAAAGCAGAAAAAAAATGCACAGGTCTTTTTAAACGCGGGTTCGAATCCGCATCCCACCAAACATGCTCGCCCGTTTCCTAGCCGGTCGGGGGGTCGGGTTATTAATGTGGACGGTCGTAACTCCCACCTATTTCGTTTCGGTTAAAAGGAAGTAGCCCGAAGAGGTTGG